AGAGAGAGAGAGAGAGGGAGAGAGAGAGAGAGAGAGAGAGGGGGAGGGGAGCCAGGGACATATAAAAAGAGGACGGGGTGATGAGAAGAAGAACCAAAACAAACAAAAAAAGAGTGTCTTTGTGAGTCAGTCTTCACTACGACGTTCGGCGCCAAAACCTGTTTTGCCAGTGGTATTTGCTCAAGCTTTTTAACAAGGTAACGTCCAGCCAGTAGAGCTGGGCGAAGAGTCAATTCCGGAACCGGTTCCCACGATTAATACTACGGAAGTAAAGTTCCGTCTCCTTTTTACGTAAACCAACGGTTACCAGTTACTTTTATTGTTAAAATCTTTTTTTTTTCCAAAAGAATTTATTTTTGAAAAATAGAAGTTGATGCTTCGTAGTATTCCGAAATCAAGGTTATCCTATATCCCGAAGATGATCAGAGCCGACCAGGTAACCACCTGAAGAAATCACGTAATCAGAAAGTAAGTAATTGGGTTCGGAGTCGATTCCTATGATTCCTAGCTGTCAGTAATCGGGAAACTTGCCGCCCAGCACTACCAGCCAGATCAGCCAGCGAGGGTCTCTCGACCTGGCCTGCTGACCAGAGGGCATTCATTCCTGTTTCCGGCAGCAAGAAGGGCCCAATCGATGGATCAGCTTGGTTTATTTTACGTAGGTTTATCAGTCTGTTCTTTCAATTTCTTGTTTCTTTTCAGAGTAACTTGTTTGCAAAGATTTCTTTTTTCGATGGTTAGAGTCTCTTTGGTGGACATTTTTTCTTCTTATAGAATTGACGCATGATCAATGAAATCATATCTACTCTTGATGAATTTGAGAAATGAAACATTAATTGAACTTTTGGAAATGATATACCCCTGTCTGCTACTTGCTTATCTGTCTGTCTGTCTGTCCGTCGGTCTGTCTGTTAGCCTGCCTGTCTGCCTGTTTGATTGTCTGCCTGTCACCATAGACATCATTCAGGGTTTTTTTTCTAGGTAGGGAACCAGCAACATGATTCTTTTTCTACGTTTCTTCTTCTCGTCCATTGAGCACAGAAGATGTCGAGATTTTTCTCCATATTCCCCCGTCTGTCGTCCCGTCGAGACGTTCTCACGCCGACAAACCTGTACATTCGTTGATGTTGTCGGAACAGCTTTCTCTTTGTTGTCCTTTTTTTCAACTGCCTTCAACAGTGCCTTGCATAATAGTTTGTACAAGGCTCTCATGTCAGGCTGTGAGTCCGAACCAGGCGAGTGTTCTCCTTTCTTTCACCTAGCTGCAAAACACTTCACCTTCCTGATTTATCCCTCTTCTAAACCTAAACATTCCTTCATTACATCATACTTGAGTCTACGAAAGTTTCAAAATTAGAATTTGTCTTAATTGGACGAGAAAATCGAAGAAAATTGTTAAGCAGTTTTTCTCTAGACTATCCCAAGTTTTCAAAGTTGGCTCAGGGCTAACAAATCGATGACAAGCGCTCTGAGAACAAACACCCATTATTCCCACCGCCCACGGTGCTGAAATGGCTTGACGTTTGATCAAGCCACACTTGCCTGTTTGTAAACAACAGTTTATCACACGCTCTGTGTTGCTGATAAACTCCAAAATGTCGGACAAAGTAAATGTCAGCTTTCCATTCGGAACTTACTTGACCTAAAACGCACACAGATATAGTGTCTCCAGTCTCCACTCCATGCGGAGGCCACTTGTGGGTGGCCGTGACGCTCTGTGTTGCTGAAATACGCCAAAATGTCGTACAAAGTGAATGTGAGGGAGCGTGATGGAATCAGGCTCTCGTCAATTTTTGGGCATGTAGAGTTATTGGTATCATCTTAAAGCTTGTTCACTTGTATTTATTTGGATAAAAAAATATCCATTTGTCTTGAATAAAAGTCGAGATATTTGCGAAAGGAGGAGGTGGGGGTCACCTGTTTTCAGAGGTAAAATTAGTGAGAGAATGGCCGCCAAAGATTAGTTATTTCTTTAGTTTAAGAGTCCGTGGTAACGGAAAATTTACATTTCTTGTGCCTTTAATCAACGTTTTTCAGAAAAATCCACTCATAAATGAGTTCTTTAATGGGCTAGAAAGGTGTTTGCCAAAAAAACACAAAAATTCAATAAAAATTCACAAACCTGCGGAAAATTGCAAGTTTCTTCATTTTGACTATTTTGACGTGAGCCTGATTCCACCACGCTGCCTCACAAATGTCAGCTTTCCATTCGGAACTTACTTGACCTAGAACGCACATATATTTATATAGTGTCTCCAGTCTCCATTCCATGCGGGGGCCACTCGTGGGTCGCCCTGACGCCATGTGCGAAATACGCACTAAACTAAAATCCATTTTGAGAATGGGTAGTCGAAAATCACTTTCATGAAATTATTTCTCACTCTTTATGACAGTAGAATCTTTTATGGTCGTCTTATTTCTCAGTTTGTTTTTATTCATTAGTTTTTCACGTTTATATTTCTTCAGTTTACATAGAAAAAGGAATGCCAGGAATCCGGTTGTCAGATTAGAGAGTAGGCCTAATAAGCTGTTGAACTGTCGTGTGGACTACCTTGATTAGAATCACCAAAAGCAGGATTAGTGATTGGTGTTACACAGCCACTTATGGCGGCTCGATGTTCATTTGATTCGCTTGCTGTAAAAATGAACTTTTAGTAAGAGCAAAATCAAGCCTTCGGACTTTCTTAACCTACTACACAAACACACATCAGGGGCTCTCCACCCTCAGTGGGGCCAAATGTGTGTCGAGATAACTATATATGCGAAAAAGGCTGTTAATTTTTTTTCTAATTTTACTTTCACCGAACTTTTCATCTAAGATTTTGCACGACAGAAACACCTCTGTGTTGTTTATAAAAGGCGTTGAGGACTCATCAACCCCAAGCACACATGATATTTTATAGTTGACGACTGATTTTCGTTTTCTGTCTGTCTACTTTCGTTTTTGTCAATAGTTTTCCTGTTTACATTATCACATCAAAACCCGAATGCACAAGAAACTCATTTTCAGATGTTTGCTAATGTATTATTTATTTCACCAGCTTCTTTCCCAAATTGTGGTGCATAAAAACATGTTTTTCTATTTGTTTTGATTTTTGGAAAACGTTCGTTTGAAAAAACAGAAAGATTACTGATGAAATTCAACACAAACAAGCATTCATTTGGCTCAAATTCTAAAGTCTGCCTTTGTCACACTTCTCCGACACTGGTGCCAGCGTAAATAACTTTCTTAAGAGCGTTCTTCTACAGAAGATAAGCCCCCCACAAAGTATTTTCAAGTCATAGAAATAAGAATAACACGAGAAAAAGAGCCAAACGAAGGATACTTGTACTGCTAAAGCCAAGGACAGACTGGGATTGGCGCGAAAATGTGATCCCAAAATTATTGTGGCTCAGGCTGGGATTTCGCTAACACGGGATTGGTGGCGACTTGACAAGGCGTCCTCTGCCAGGCTTCTTCTTCTTCTTCTTCTTCTCCTCCTCCTCCTCCTCCTCCTCCTCCTTTT